CCTTTTCACACCACTGTATATATATATATATATATATATATATATATATATATATATATATATATATATATATATATATATATATACATACATACATACACATTTATAAATTCAATATATATATTATTTCATTTCCGTTTAGTTTGTTGAAGTATTAAAATAACTCAAATTAAATAAAACTAAAACTTAATAACAGACCTATACAGACATAATAAATTCAGACATAATTTAACTAAAATTAAAATAAATAACAAATACAAATAATACAAATCAAGCGTCAGTAGTTTATCAGTAATCCCAAAAATTAACACTGCCAAACGTACATGCTAAAAAAAAAAACTTCCTTACACATAGTAAGAAATGGTTATAAAAACTGAAACAGAAGTGAAACAAGTAATAGGAAAAAGGAGAAATAAAAAGCGATACTTATCCTTTGCCGGTGCAGCAAACACCGTTCCTGCCCGGTGGAGTCGCACAGTAGAGTCGATGGTCTTTACACTCTTCGGTCTTCACACAAGGAGGCCGTCACGCGATGGCTGCCGCGGTAAACTAAGCTTTTTTATACCCGTCTAACAAAATACTAAATTAATTCAGCTGGACACACTTTCCTTATTTTTTTCCACAACAAATGGCCAAGCAAGCGCAGACACTGACAAGATACACGATACAGAACGAGACTAAACGCGATATCAGCACGTCTCCACACAGTAAACAAAACAAGCGTTTCCTAGCAATGACAGCTGCACTAAACACTAATGAGACAAGTAAATACACTTACTAGTAGTAATTAATTATTAACATAATTAGTAATTATGTCCCCACTGGATGCAACAAATGCCTCGTTTGTAATGGGTTTTATTGGTTTTGTCTCGTGGCATGGAAACACAGTACGGTAGGGGTGTAACATTTCCATCACACGCTTGAGGTATTCGGCCAATCACAACACACTGGATAGCTGGCCAATCAGAGCGCACCTCGCTTTTCAGAACGATGAGCTTTGTAAAAATCGATGCGTTTCAGAATGGCGGGGCATAGAGGAGAAACAATAATGTACATTATGTGGAAAATAATGTGTTTTTTTAACCTCTTCTTGCCGTTCTTTTTAGCAACATCATATGACCCCTTTAAGCAACTACCATGCTTTTACAACAAAACCATTTTTGTACGCATTAGTTATGGTCAGAACGAGTGGTTGAAGAATCCTACCTGAAGAATGACGGTGAAATACACCACAATGAGCGTGGTACCAAGCATTAGATTCTTCTCTGGGATCTTTTTCTCATCCAAAATGGCTGCTAGTCCATATGCCACTGCTCCTCGCAGGCCACCGTAGCCCATTACAAACTGGTCCATGATGTCAATAGGAATCAGACGAGACTTATTCAAGACCCAGTTGAGGAAGAAAACACCTGCATATAAAAAAAATCCACGACTGATGTCAGTTTTTATGACCATACTCTTAATAGGGTTATCGGAAGCGGCTACAAGGAATTCATGACTTAAACTCACCCATGAACCTGAATGCAACAACAAAGAAGAGTGTGAGGAGGATGAAGCCAGTGTTCCAAACCCAGATGGTTTTATCAATGGCTGAAACTCCCAGGAAGACGAAGATCATGGTCTCTGAGCCATTGGCCATCATCTTCAGGGTGTAACGTAACGTTATGACAGATTTCTCATCCATGTTGGCGTTGATGTACTTCTGACAGCAGACACCACAGAAAGTGATCCTGTCACACACAAAGCCACAGTAAATGATTATTGTAAACTCATGAATAGTTTACATTCATTTACTAATTTATAAATGTACTTATTTATTTTCATTTTTCAGGAAAGCATTGAGTTCCTTAAGAAGATCTTACGAAAGTATGGCAGACAGTGAGAGCATCTCAGCCGTCAGGTAAGACAAGTAGCCAAGCACAATGATGAAGCCGGCTTCGATGACCTGGACGTTCTTGGTAATCCTGGTCAGCATGGATATCAGAACGGCAAACACAACACCAAGAAACGAGCCTCCAAATGACACAACAAAGAACGAAACTGGGAGAGCAAAAAAAAAGGGTTATTGTCATTAACTAAAACTAATCCATAAAAAACATTACTTAATATTAACTGGAATTAAATTAAATATATTTAATTATTAAAATTATTTTATTTCAATTTCAGTCATACCTATTCCTTTGATCATCTCTGCGGCGTTGATCTTCGGACCTCCCAGAGACACAAATGCATCAAACACATTATAAAGTACCTGCGACAGCCAGAACGAGAGAGATACATAATATTAGATAGATGTAAGAGCCATCAAATAGAATCTGACAGTCAAGTACATTTTCATATGAACAATGATTGATTCTTAAAAAAAACATGATTCTTGTTGAGAAAAACTGAGACTCACCACTGTGACACCATCATTGAGCAGGGACTCTCCAAACACCAGGATGTAGAGCACTTCATTCACGTGCACTTCCTCAAACACGCCAATCACAGCCACAGGGTCCACGGCAGACATTAGGGCACCAAATAACAGGAACTGCAGAGGGCCGATGTTCAAGGTCCCTGAGGATTAGTGAAACTGTTAGTTTTATTAACTGACTGAAACTTAACTTAAGTTTCTAATACTCACCAAGACTGCGTTTATTCATTTATTTGGTCAGAAAGACAGTAATATTGCGAAATATTATTAGCAATTAAAGTAACAGTTTTCTATTCTAATGTATTTTAAAATGTAATTTATTCCTGTGATACAAAGCTGAATTTTCAGCGGCCATTACTCCAATCTTCAGTGTCACATATATGTTGATTTGCTGCTTAAGAAACATTTATTATTATCAATGTTGAAAACGATTGTGCTGCTTAATGTTTTTGTGTTGATCTTTTGTAAAATTATAATTGTCTTTACGGTCACTTTTGATCAGTTTACTGTGTCTTTGGTGAATAAAAGTATTAATTTCTTTAAAAACAGTGACCACAAAACATTAGTGTATTAAATATATTAAGTATATCAAGTAATTCATTTGTATTAAACAAGCATATAAGTATAGAAAGTATTTAAGTACACTTATATAAAACATTCATTTAAATGACAAGTTGGCTTTCTCAAGCATCTGCTCAGAAGTTTGTAAATGTCATTGTAAAACTCCGATTTACCCATTGCACCCCCTTCATAGCAGGCCCATAGCGCAACGCCCACTGTGCCTGCATTCCAGCACGTTCCGATAACGGCATGGATGAGAATGGCTCCCAGGTTGCTGAAGAATAGTTTGTTTGGCATGCAGTAACTTGCATCCAAGACGATCTGGGGAAGCAAGTAGTAGAAGAAATTGACGGGGATCAGTTTGAAAGTCTGCGCTTTGTCTGCTCCCCAGACGATTCCTCCCAAAATAAAGCCCAGGATGATGAGCAGACCACTCTCTGGGATCACACTGGTGACATTGTGATTCAGTTCACACACTAAAAAGAGATAAAAGAGACAACAAGAGAAAAAAACAGATGATGAAAAGCTGAATTTTTAACTGTCATTATTCAGAATTTAGTTTCACATTGTCCTTCAGAAATCATTCTAATATGCTGATTTAGTCTAATGTCTCCACTGCTGTCACTTTTGATAAATGTAATGTGTCTTTGCTGAATAAAAGAATTAATTTCTTAAATAAACGAAAAAATACATCTTACTGACTTTTGAAGGGTAGTGTATGTTACATAGGCCTATTTGAGTAATTCTTCAACCTTGGATTTTTTTTTTTTAATAATACGTTTCAGCATTTAAATTATATAAATCACATGTAATTACATGAACCACACTAAACCTGTATTTTGTTTCTAATTTATGTGTACATTTTATTATAACCCAGCCTTTCAGTTTTACAAAATTGTTTAATTGTGTGTATTTTGGATAAATTGCTCATTATTATATTTATAGTTAACCTTACCAAGACGAACATGTTAAAAATAGAATTTCCACCCCAGAATGTCGAACTCGATACATCATTTCTGATGTATCAGAAATGACAATGTGGAAATGTTCATGACTTTCAGAAAAGTAACAAAATGTGATGCAAGTCATTGTTAGAAGATTAACTGAGACTGAAAAGTGTAAAAGTTCACAGCTCCAAAACTGCCTGTAGCTGGAGAAACATTCTTTAAACATATTAAACTCACTTTGTGAAGCAGGCAATAAACAATTGAAACTATTTAGTTCACAGGAACTTAGTGTTTCATGTGATTCATTCAACATCAGCTTGAGCTAAAAATTAAGCTGTGCCTCTGAGATTGGTGTTTCATCTTCTTCCACAGGAAAGGAAGTTAAGAGGCGGATAAACGGCTCATCTGCTCAATGTTTAAGGTAAGCTAGTTAATAAAGTGAGGCTCTCATATTTTCTATCTTGTGGACCAATCGGTCAACACTCTTAAAAAATAAAGGTGCTTAAAAGGTGTTTAAAATTTTTTGGTTCCACAAAGAACCATTCAGTCAAAGGTTCTTTAAAGAACCATCTCTTTCTCACCTTTTTATAATCGGAAGAACCTTCTTTCGCCACAATAGAATGTCTAAAGTGGACTATCGAAATAAAGTGTTACCAATTATTTAACAATTGAGAATACTAAAATAGTAGCATGCATCTTTTATGGAAATCTTAAGTAGTGATTGATGTAGTTCTTTCTCGATGTCTTGTATGGTGAGTATGTACACCGCATACCTCGGCAACAGAATCAATGGTCAACATTCGTGAGAATGTGATACATCAGGTCCCGGTATTGCGAATAGGTTTATGCCGACTCTTTGATGCATGTTGCAATGCACAGGAGTGACTTTCCTTAGGAGAAATATTAGTTATATTTTTTTAATATCTCTCAGATCTATAAGCGTATACTAACTGTAAATAATGATTTTAATAATTGAAAGTTAGCTATTGTTATATTTTTGCCTTTTTGTCACTTTTAATAATACAAATTGTTGGGAGAACAGGAAATGATAGGGTGAACAGGACAGAACAGACAGGCCAGAACATCTACAGTATTTGTTTGTTTGAAAAGTATTTTTGCAGTGAACTACACATATGTAGAGAAAATGTATACACACACACACACACACACACACACACACACATATATATATATATTGGATATTTTAGTGTAGTTTACTTCAATTCTTTAAATCTGAAATAGTCTGAAACACTATAATGCTATAGTCTGATTTCCACCATCATGCACTAAAGCTGACCTGACACTGTGCCTTTGAGGAAAGTCAAAGATTCAGGTGGCCCATTAATTATTTAATGTAGTACATTATTAACTAGCAGTAAGGTATTGTTTCAGCACTGTAATTTCTCAGAGAGTAGATCTCCAGCTTTGTCCATGATGCCAGTGATGTGTTACAGATCATGTCCTGGAACTAAATCTAAATGATATACCTCATTTGCTGAGTTCTTGCCAACAGGCAATTAACAGAGTCTGCGAGTGTATGAACACGGGATCTTTGCACACACAGAACTTGGACGTAAAACTGCAGGTCACATTGACATGAAACATGAAGAAATACAGTTAGCACTCACCTTCGGACTTATAGCCTATTGACAGGCTGTCAATTTATGAAACATTTGAATCTAATTAATTACATGACATTCACAATTGATTATTAACTGGTTTTTACTGAAATAAACTGGAAAAAATGAAATAATTCATGCAGAATTACATATGTCTAAATATGTGTAGTTCACTGTAAAGTACATTTTACAAGAAAATACTATTATTTTTATTTAATTGATATTATTTATGTATTTGTACTTAATTGAATGCACTACATGCCATTTCTTTATAATTATTTGTGAAATTTACTTGCAATTTCTGAGTGAAATTTGGTTTTGTTTTATTTTTATTAGTATGTTTTCTGTCTATTTTATTGGCTAAAAGAACTTTTAGACCACACATACTATGGCAAAAGAAGTTGTTGTATTGGTTAATGCTAATGCAACTTTCTTTTTCATTTTTAAAACATTCCGATTGTCTCGCCTATATATCTAAACTTGACTCATCACCTTGAACTCAACCTTCATAACACTGTGTTCTTTGTATTCTTCGCTAATTTCTCGTCCACTCTGCTCCTGTTAAATCTGTTCAAAGTCACTGTCATTGATGAAGCTTGAACATCTCTGGTCACTTGCCGTCTTTTAATGCCAGTTCCGAAAGCAAAATCTTTGCCCAATTGTACAGTTATGTTTTGACAAGCCTATTCAAGCTTCACCATTAAAATCCCTTAATGCCATCTACACCTACTTCTAAACCTGATGTAACACCCATTCAGCATAACACTGCACTCTCTGTGGCTCTTTGTTGATTCTGCGTGCTTATGCATTTCAGTCTGTAGTATCTCCATGAAGCCTTTAGGTGGCAGGCGTAAATACTGCTTTATTATGAAACTGACTGCTTAGTGCTTAGACAACTGAGTAACTGTTTGGAGAAGTCCACCATCCAAATATACTGCATGTCTTTATGAAAAGAAAGTGGACCAGCTTTATTCACTGTGCATTGTTCTTTGTGGCAGCATTTTATAGAAAAATACCTTTGATTTAGATAAAACCAACTGATAAATCTTGAATTTGTCAGGACTGTAGTATTTTAATTTAAGGTGCTTTTGTCTGGCTAAAAATGTCTGTGATTTTGTTTTGCAGCACATTATTTGGGCTTTATTTAAGTACAGAAAATACATTTTGTCTGTAATTCGATACTGAAGATATCAGATAACCTATTTGATTCCCATTCGATAATAAGCTGACAAATTTGCCCATTCAGTGCCATTCGGTGGGAGTACATTTTACCTTCTAATTTTTAACAGTGGGTGAACAGGTAACATTCAGACTGCCAAATAGGGTGGAAAATTCCTGGTAAAGAATACTAATACAAAATAGCTTTACCTTTAACAAAATGTCACCTATAATGTTACCGATTATTTGAGGCATGAAAAGGTACCAAACCTTAACCAAATAAAAAAAAAAAAAAAAACACAGGTGGTAATAAAATTACTGGTGGTAATAAAAAGCTACTGAAGGTAGCAGCTGAGGTAAATTCTAACGTATAGAAGGTGCACAGTGTCATACAAATACAAAAACCATCATGGTAACAAACATGACACTAAAATAATGCAATAACTGATACAAAAAAATTAAAAGAAATTGTTATTTCGGTTATTTCTTTTTCACTTCCAAAATACAACAAGTAATAAGTCAACAGTATTTTACTGTAAAATTACATGAAGTGTCCTATTAGATTACTGTTTTTCAACGTATATAGTTATGAAACTTACTATGAACAGGTTTTTACCGTATTTCTACGGTCTTATGTTATATTTTTTTACAGTGCTTAACTTGAAATTTGCTTCAGCTTCAGAGTCAGTTTTTTTGTGTCAGAAACGCCTACGGTAGCTAGATTTTTATTGTTCTTTGCTATTTGTATTATACCAACATTGTAGATGAAAAACTCAGTTTAGTGCTGGAACTTACCTAATTTACACAGCCAACAGGTCAATATCCAGAGGGCCACCAGGTATGGCGTTTCCACATGATGCCATTTCCAGATGACAATAGGTAATGTAGTAATTGACGAAGGGGCTTGTCCATCGGTGGAATTGTTGGTAGAGGTACTAGTATCCTCAGTGGCTGTTGACTTTGAAGAATAGTTATGGCCTACTTCAACACTATCGACTTCTAATGCTGCAGCCTTGCATGAAGTACTGAAAACGATTAATAATGCCAGAAGAAGTGCAAACTGCTGTAGAAACGCCATCGCAGACTTTTGTTGATCAAACAGCGCTTTTCTGCTTATGCCTACTTGCATTTATTAGCTGTTATTGATGTTGTAATTATATAGTCAATCCCGTATCCTGGCGTTTCTAAGTGGCTGTCATCAGTCTTTCTCCTCGCTCTGTCAGTCTGAGATTGGCATGCATATGGTGTACATTTCTTCTCTTATTTGTCCCTCCTCTTAGAAAATAGAGAATCACTTTGGAGGTAGTTTGTGACCCCTCCCTGTTGTCTCTCACAGGTGTGTACTTATTTGTGTGGGACTCATCCAAAGGATTCGTTCGATGAGTTTCTTTATTGAAGTGGAAGGGTTTGAACACCTTGGGCCAAAAGTCTGATAATAACAGAGGCCCATACATATGGCGAAGACAGACAATCAAGCCATTGTCTTTTAAAAATCAGTGTCATGAAAGCTTCTACTGTTCACACAAGCCCCAGTTGAACGTAAAGCAGTTAAGACAAAGTTAAGACATTTACATAGTTGCTGTTCCACTCTTCATCATTCATCATTTACATCCACTTTACTTCATCATTTTATTTTAATGGCATTTAACATGCACTGCAGAAATCATATTTAATCAGTATGTTTGTATGTAGAAATAACTACAAATCCTTGAAATGATACATTCACTGCATTGTGTTCAGAAAATGCCTTTATTTATTCATTCATTCATCCATTCTTTTGTTAGATTTTTTGCTAGTAGGGTAAGAAAATAAACTCAAAATATATCTTATTTATTATCTTTTATCCTATCTAAGTTTTCTTTTACATATTTTTACAATTATTTTACATCTATTTAAAAAAAAAAGTAAGGGCTCCTTACACATGAGCTGATTTCACAATATTAAGGTTATTACTGAAACATCAGTTCATTACTCGGACTGAAAATATAGATTATTGCATTACAGCAAGTTCATAATGTGCTGCTCATTTGTTTGTGTTTGAGGTGAAAAACACTGTCCTCCCTCATCTCACTGGAAGATACGTCCGTGAGCCTCCATAACCCCGTGTTTATAGGACTCTGTGCTATCAGAAAGTCATCCTCAAGATGTGTTCCTGAATTAGTCTTCTGACCTATTTTACAATGAATCCTGTGATAAGGCAGATTCCAGACAAATACAGACGCATATTATTGATTAACATATTGATCTGTTTGTAGGACTCCATTAATATAGGTCATGAAATGTCTAAATCATAGGTAATGATAAGACCAGTACCCTATACCTCATTGTTCCTGCTACTTTATTTACATCTTGATAACAGCATACATTTTTATACAATTCTTTCAGAACCCAAATGCAATCACAAAGAAACATTTCCCACCCAAAGTGTTGATGCCAATAGCTGACATATAGTGCCATTGCGCTTCGGGCATCCCAGTCCCAAAGTGAGATCTTTGTTTTTAAATGGCCTGCTTCCTATTCACAGAGTTCAAATAAACATAGTTTTTTAAATAACATTTTATAGAAAAATACCTTTGATTTAGATAAAACCAACTGATAAATCTTGAATTTGTCAGGACTGTAGTATTTTAATTTAAGGTGCTTTTGTCTGGCTAAAAATGTCTGTGATTTTGTTTTGCAGCACATTATTTGGGCTTTATTTAAGTACAGAAAATAAATTTTGTCTGTAATTCGATACTGAAGATATCAGATAATCTATTTGATTCCCATTCGATAATAAGCTGACAAATTTGCCCATTCAGTGCCATTCGGTGGGAGTACATTTTACCTTCTAATTTTTAACAGTGGGTGAACAGGTAACATTCAGACTGCCAAATAGGGTGGAAAATTCCTGGTAAAGAATACTAATACAAAATAGCTTTACCTTTAACAAAATGTCACCTATAATGTTACCGATTATTTGAGGCATGAAAAGGTACCAAACCTTAACCAAATAAAAAAAAAAAAAAAAACACAGGGGGTAATAAAATTACTGGTGGTAATAAAAAGCTACTGAAGGTAGCAGCTGAGGTAAATTCTAACGTATAGAAGGTGCACAGTGTCATACAAATACAAAAACCATCATGGTAACAAACATGACACTAAAATAATGCAATAACTGATACAAAAAAATTAAAAGAAATTGTTATTTCGGTTATTTCTTTTTCACTTCCAAAATACAACAAGTAATAAGTCAACAGTATTTTACTGTAAAATTACATGAAGTGTCCTATTAGATTACTGTTTTTCAACGTATATAGTTATGAAACTTACTATGAACAGGTTTTTACCGTATTTCTACGGTCTTATGTTATATTTTTTTACAGTGCTTAACTTGAAATTTGCTTCAGCTTCAGAGTCAGTTTTTTTGTGTCAGAAACGCCTACGGTAGCTAGATTTTTATTGTTCTTTGCTATTTGTATTATACCAACATTGTAGATGAAAAACTCAGTTTAGTGCTGGAACTTACCTAATTTACACAGCCAACAGGTCAATATCCAGAGGGCCACCAGGTATGGCGTTTCCACATGATGCCATTTCCAGATGACAATAGGTAATGTAGTAATTGACGAAGGGGCTTGTCCATCGGTGGAATTGTTGGGAGAGGCACTAGGATCCTCAGTGGCTGGTGACTTTGAAGAATAGTTATGGCCTACTTCAACACTATCGACTTCTAATGCTGCAGCCTTGCATGAAGTACTGAAAACGATTAATAATGCCAGAAGAAGTGCAAACTGCTGTAGAAACGCCATCGCAGACTTTTGTTGATCAAACAGCGCTTTTCTGCTTATGCCTACTTGCATTTATTAGCTGTTATTGATGTTGTAATTATATAGTCAATCCCGTATCCTGGCGTTTCTAAGTGGCTGTCATCAGTCTTTCTCCTCGCTCTGTCAGTCTGAGATTGGCATGCATATGGTGTACATTTCTTCTCTTATTTGTCCCTCCTCTTAGAAAATAGAGAATCACTTTGGAGGTAGTTTGTGACCCCTCCCTGTTGTCTCTCACAGGTGTGTACTTATTTGTGTGGGACTCATCCAAAGGATTCGTTCGATGAGTTTCTTTATTGAAGTGGAAGGGTTTGAACACCTTGGGCCAAAAGTCTGATAATAACAGAGGCCCATACATATGGCGAAGACAGACAATCAAGCCATTGTCTTTTAAAAATCAGTGTCATGAAAGCTTCTACTGTTCACACAAGCCCCAGTTGAACGTAAAGCAGTTAAGACAAAGTTAAGACATTTACATAGTTGCTGTTCCACTCTTCATCATTCATCATTTACATCCACTTTACTTCATCATTTTATTTTAATGGCATTTAACATGCACTGCAGAAATCATATTTAATCAGTATGTTTGTATGTAGAAATAACTACAAATCCTTGAAATGATACATTCACTGCATTGTGTTCAGAAAATGCCTTTATTTATTCATTCATTCATCCATTCTTTTGTTAGATTTTTTGCTAGTAGGGTAAGAAAATAAACTCAAAATATATCTTATTTATTATCTTTTATCCTATCTAAGTTTTCTTTTACATATTTTTACAATTATTTTACATCTATTTAAAAAAAAAAGTAAGGGCTCCTTACACATGAGCTGATTTCACAATATTAAGGTTATTACTGAAACATCAGTTCATTACTCGGACTGAAAATATAGATTATTGCATTACAGCAAGTACATAATGTGCTGCTCATTTGTTTGTGTTTGAGGTGAAAAACACTGTCCTCCCTCATCTCACTGGAAGATACGTCCGTGAGCCTCCATAACCCCGTGTTTATAGGACTCTGTGCTATCAGAAAGTCATCCTCAAGATGTGTTCCTGAATTAGTCTTCTGACCTATTTTACAATGAATCCTGTGATAAGGCAGATTCCAGACAAATACAGACGCATATTATTGATTAACATATTGATCTGTTTGTAGGACTCCATTAATATAGGTCATGAAATGTCTAAATCATAGGTAATGATAAGACCAGTACCCTATACCTCATTGTTCCTGCTACTTTATTTACATCTTGATAACAGCATACATTTTTATACAATTCTTTCAGAACCCAAATGCAATCACAAAGAAACATTTCCCACCCAAAGTGTTGATGCCAATATCTGACATATAGTGCCATTGCGCTTCGGGCATCCCAGTCCCAAAGTGAGATCTTTGTTTTTAAATGGCCTGCTTCCTATTCACAGAGTGCAAATAAACATAGTTTTTTAAATAAATAAATTTAATATTTTATTAAAATATTTTATTACATTAGGGCTATTTATCAAATTAAATACTTTTAATTATTTGTAATTCTGTGTAAATATTCAATATATGTCTGTATAAATCCTCTATATTTTATTTATATTACATATTTCATTTGAATATAAAAATAGAATAGTATGTAGTATTGTAATTTTTTCTTCCAAAACTATGTGTACTTCTTTACTGAAGTACTGAACTGATTCATTTTAAGCAATGCTGCCTTTAAAGAGCTAAATGGAGCAGAAGAACGTGCTATTTAGTCAGCATTTTCATTAATTTAACATGAACTCTCTACGCATCTATGAAACAGTGCAATGTAATATGTTGCAATGTCATATTTCTCTCAAAGAAACACGGAGAGGAGGTTGCAAAAGTTGTGGTTTTACTATGATATGGAGGTAGGAAACATTTACAGGATCAATAATGCTTAGAAGTAGTGTAACATGTTGTTCCATGCCGGTTCAGAGGCTTTGAGGACATCATCTTTGAGTAGTTTACACTACAGTGCCTTATAAAACACACATTTTAACATAATTAAGTTCTTGGAATGAAAGCATAAAAATGTTTTAAAGCATAACAGTGCAATAATTTTTATCCTGTACTTTTAAACATAATTTGTAACGTCCTCCCATTGTTTTGTTTGCTTCAGACTGTTTATTTTCAAAACAATCACATGCACACATTTGTATACGTCATAAAACAGGACACCGACAGTATTGTCTGTATAATTTTTTGTTCTCTTTAACATGGTGAGATTCTTTACAATTAAAAGAGAGAATGCAT